AGAGAGAGAGAGAGAGAGAGAGAGAGAGAGAGAGAGAGAGCAAGCCTGAGTCAGACAGAGACAGAGAGTCAGGGTCAAACAGAGAGACAAAGACAGATAAAGAGAGAGACAGAGACAGAGACTGACAGAGAGAGAGGGAGAGAGAGAGATGTACATATACACACAAGACAGCAAACATTCCTTCCCTACCCCAAAGAAAAATAACAAAAACCAAGCCCATATGCTAAAATGTCACTTTGAATCCCTTGGTGTTTTACCTTTTTCATCCCCCCATAATCCCACTATAGTAGCTCCCATCCTAACCTAAACCCATGTGCTCATACACTGAGTTACATATACGTGCATAAATACTTCATTCTGGCATTTTTCACACTTTCCTAAAATTCTCTCCGGCTGCAAAGCCAGCAGGCCCAGACCAGGGAGTGTGAGGTCCAAAAGGCAGTGACCCTAGTCACAAAGGCAGTGTAGACCTTGAGCTTGCTCCCCCAGGGCACAAGAACCAAAAAGAGCAGAGGAGCTGAAATAAAGGACCAGGGGCCTAGCGCACCAGATCCTAGATCACCAATGAGGATCTTAGGCTCCCATGAAGCCATGTACCCACAGACCAACGCAGCTTATGTCAACCCTGACCCAAGAATTTATGTGTGTAAGAAGCTTCTTCACACACACAAAAAGGGGGCTTCTTCTTTTGAAGACAAACAAGCATCACTGTCTATTTTAATGTGTCTCCTAGCTACAGGTAACTCTCAAGGTAGTTTTGCAGTAGATTCTCCATACCAAACTTTTCATGACTCAACCCTGCCACTAATCAGCTGTGTGACCCTGGGTTAGCAACTTCACTCCTCTGAGCCTCAGTTTCCTCATCTACAAAGAAAGGGGGTTGGAACAGACACTCATTAGAGTCCTTTTCCAGCTATAACACGAAACACTGTATATATCCTGAATGTATATAGTTTACATTTTGTCTCTTCCATCAGAATGAGGCGGCCAGGGATCATGTTCTTACCTTTCTTTCTACCTTTAGTGCTTAGCACAGTGTCTGCACATAGTATGCACTTAATAAGTGTTTTGTTCACTAAATGACTAAACTGTAGCTGTTTTTCCCCCAGTGCTAAGGGTCCCCATCCTCTTGGTGGGGCATGCACAGGTACAGGAGACCTACTGTGACAGCCACAAAAGATGAAAAGTCTTTCCTAACCATATAGTGACATATCCCTCCTCTGAAACTCCACTGCATATGTACATATACATACAAAGATAATTAGCAACTCTAAATAGTACATATATAAGTGCATGAATATAAGTGCATAGATATAATATATATAACATATAAGTACATAGGAAGCAGAACAATGTGTAGGAAAAGTTCTGAATCTAAGTCAGAGAATCTGGGTTCAAATCCTATCCCTCGTACTTATTTCCTGTGTGACCTCAGGCAAGTTGATTAACTTCTCTGGGCCAGTTTCCACAAAAATAAAATGAGGGGGTTGGGCTACATGATCTCTGGAATATCCCTTCCATCCCTAAATCTATGATCTGATTGTCTTGCTGGGACTTAGTTTCCTTATCTGAAAAATGAAGAAGCTGGAATAGAGGATCTCCAAGGTCCCTTCTAACTCAAATCTCTGTTATTATACACATTGAGGGCAGAGACTGTATCTTGTTCATCATGTGCCCCCCACTACAGCGGTTACCCATAGGTTACTCAATAATGTCTCTTAAGATAGGCAACAAAGATTTACCCAATTTTCTGTTGACAGAAGCTCGTATTATTAAACAATATGAGAAATAGAGGTTGTCGTTGTTCAGTCTTTTCAGTTGTGTCTAATTTTTTGTGACCCCTTTTGGGGCTTCGTTGGCAAAGATACTGAAGTGGTTTGCCATTTCCTTCTCCAGCTCATTTGACAGATGAGGAAACTAAGGCAAACAGGGTTAAGTGATCTGCCCAGGGTCACACAGTTAGTAAGCATCTGAGGGCAGATTTGAACTCAGGAAAAACGAGTTCTTGACTTCAGGATTGGCACTGTATCCACTGCACCACCTAACACCCTAATAAAAGAAAGAGAATATTAATTAAGAAAAAATAGAAGAGGCTCAGGGCCTTTAGGGACCTGAAAATTCCAGTGTGATGATAGAAGTCCATGCCTTTAGAAGCTCCCTGTCTAACAGGAGGGGCAGTACCTGGCCTGGGGTAATTCATAATCTGATGAGAAAGAAGGCCTGTCTAGGGAACTCATGAGGTTTCCATCTTCCTCTGCCACCTGAGGTCTGAGTCTAGTAACAATGTTTACAAACTTCTTAGCACAAGTCCCTGAGTTGATGCCCAGTTAGTCCAGGTCTGAGCTAAGATAGGACCCCTATCTCTCCCCCTACACACACCCACACACCCACACCCACACCCACCCACACACCCACACCCACACATGCGCGCATACAGGAACATTTTTGGTCTTTTCCCAGAAGAAAATGAGAGAGGGGCCCATGGACACATTGCCCCAGGGTCTGCTCAGCCTTCTAGTCATGTAAATCCAGTTAGTTCTGGGTAGTTTGGGCCCTGACCCCAAAAGAGGGGTTCCCACCCAAGGGAAGACGGCCTCTCTATGACAAACTGCTCCCGAACAGGAAGGGGTTCTCACCAGAGTAATGTGGGCTTCTCTCTGACAGGCTCTATTCCTTCATCACCTATCTGATAAACTTTTTCTGTAAACTTAAAAACAAATCCTAATGACAAAGAATATTACCTAACACCATCCACAGCTCTTTGTCTAATCAGAAGAGTACTTGGCAAGGGGGAACTCAAGCCATTATCGGGATAATGGGCTCTTTAACCAGAGCAGCCCAGACCCTTTTCTCCCCCAAGGGAGAAGGGCCTGGACACAGAAGATACTATTTGTGACAATGTGCTGGACTCATGCCTCAGTGAAACATGGTGTCATAGTCCAACACCCTGCCCCATTCACAAAGTCTCTACAGCCTCAGTCAAGCAGAGCTCCCGAGAAATAAGCAACATCCCCATACCCCTTTCCACAAGTATAAAAGGCTGAACAGGAATTGGACAGGTCAGGGAAAGAGGGCAGGTGGGTTTGGACCACAGGCACTCCGACTTCCCTTTTAGCAAAAGTCATTGCTCCTGCAGTCCTCGGGTCTGCAGAGCCTCTGGGGAGCCCCTTCCTTACCTCCCTTCACCCCAACCCAGTCCACTGCGTGCATCCAATTCCCACCGACTCTTCCCCATCTCCTAAGCGTTTCAGGGTGCCTGCAGAAGAGCACAAGAGGGCAGATGCTAGTGGGGCCGGGCGTGGGGGTGCATATCTCCGGAGGGCCCGGGCTACCACCTCCCCGAGGGGAGTTTGGATGCCCAGAGGGGCTCGCTCACCTGGGCTTCTTGCAGAGCCGGCTCCCCACTCCGTGGCAGCGTGGCGGGGGCCCCTGAACTGCAGCCCCGACCGGCAGCCCGCAGAAGCCCCCTTAGCGTCCGGGACACTGACCATGCAGCCATGGGGCCAGAAAGCAGCCAGTCTACGCCCCGACCAAGGCTTCCGACAGCTGTGATCAAGGCTAGCTCAGATCCTATTTACCCCCAGTAGCGATCCGAATCCGGAGGGGCGGGGGCAAGGCCCCTGCACCCAATCAGTAGTCGGCGTCGGTGCCTCGATGCCTTCTGGGACTTGTAGTTCCAGGCTCTTTCGAGCTAGGGCAGGACACTTTTCAGTCCTGTTGGCGTGACCCGGAATTGAGGTAACTAGCCTTTGGTGCGGATTCTAATTCCGCTGCCTGGTTTCCATCAAGGCCTGGATGAATAGGTTCCTGCCCAGGAATGTGCTTTGGGCTCCTTTAGGGGGTCTTGTCCAGCCTCTCCAGAGACTGACAACGTGGGTACTCTCTACACCCACGCAGAGTGAAACAGATCCACGCTTAAATAGAAAGGGAAATTTAAACTAATCCCTTCTCATAATTACTCATGTAAGAATTTAAGCTCCCCGAGGGCAAGGACTGTTTCTTTTTGCTTTTACGTGTATCCTCAACACTTAGCACATTACGTGGCACCCCTGGCCCTGGCCAGATTTAAAACATTGGGCAAATTTCTCTGGAGAGCTTTCTGTTCTTGAGAACCAGTGCTGTTTAATAGATAGAACAACAGCCTGGAGTCAGAAGATGTTATCTAAATACTGACTTTGATGCTTACCTGTTTGACCCCAATTAAGCAAGACTTCACTTCACCTCTGGGAAACAGTTTCTTTTTCTGCGTGAGGTGGTGGTGGTAGTGAGCTAGATGATCTCTATCAATCAATCAGTATACATTTATTAAGCACCTACTGTGTGCCAGGCACTTTGCAAAGTGAAGAGAATACAAATAAAAGAAAAATAATCCCTGCTTTGAAGGGGTTTACAGTCTAATGGGGGGAGATAGCATGCAAACAAATATATGCAAAGCAAGCTATATAGAGGACAAATTAGAAATAATTAACGTAAGGAGGATACTATAATTAAGAGGGGCTGGGAAAGGCTTCCTGTAGAAGGTGGGATTTTAGTTGGGATTTAAAGGAAGCTAGAGAGGACAGTAGTTGGAGTGCAGGAGCAAATGCATTAGAGACATGGAGATCAGCCAGTGAAAATGGCTAGAGCCAAGAGATAGGAGTGTCTTGTTCTTGGAATATCCAAGAGGAAGCCAGTGTTAGTGGACTGAAGAGTATGTGTTGGAGAGTAAGGTGTAAGAAGACTGGAAAGGTAGGAGGGGGCTCAGTTATGAAGGGTTTTGAACAGGGGTGGGGAACCTTCAGCCTCAAGGCCACATGTGATCCTCTAAGTCCTCAAGTACGGCCCTTTGACTGAATCCAAATTTCACAAAACAAATCCCCTTAATAAGAGGATTTTTTTCTGCAAAGCTTGGACTCAGTCAAAAGGCTGCACCCCAGGACCTAGAAGGCCACATATGGCCTCAAGACTGCAGGTTCCCCACCCCTGATTTTGAACATTCCTTCCCTTCCAACTCTAAATTCAATTATTCCTTTATGGTATCTCTCCCCATCCTCCAAGTTTCCCAGAAATGACCCAGGCTGCATTGTCACATGGGAGGGGACAGTCAAACATATTTAGCCATTGATCTATTTCATTTCCCACATTCCTATTCCCAGATAGCTGTCATGGCACTATTATACAGTCTTTATTTTTTTTTTAAATGTTGCATAATATTGATTTCAGCTGAGTTGAGGCTGGGTGGAGGGGTCAAAGTCTAGAGCGTAAGGTATTCTGGGGGAAGGCAGGCCTACCCCTGGGATATCACACTTGAGAACTCTGAGTAACCATGGGAAGCTGCAGCATGAAGGCAACCTGGTCTTTTGGTTTTAAGAAAAGATTCAGCATGACTTAAGGAAGAAAGGCTGATTTGGAAGGGTATCCAAAAGGTCATCCAGTCCAACCATTTTTCCCCCAGCACCTGTGAGATCTTCAGTGACCAGAAATTCCTTCGTCAACATCAATTCAATTTACCATTTATTTAAGTGTCTTCTATATGCCAGGCTCTGTGTGTGGATACAAAGACAAGATCTGCCCTTGCATATGTTCTACAGAATACATGTAAAACAGATAAGGTAATACAAAATAGTCTATGCTGAAAGAGAATACTAACAACTTGAAAGAACAGGAAAGGCTATAGGAAAGAAGTTAAGGAAGAAAGTTAAGTTAAAGAAGGACAATAAGGAATCTTTGAGACAGAGGCTGGGTGGGAATACATTCCAGGTATGGGGTGACAGCATGTATAAAGGCACAGAGATGGGAAATAGGATACTGAGTTTGGGGAACAGCAAATAGGTCAATTTGTCTGAAATAGGGAATGTTTAGAGGGAAGTATATTTGTAAGTAAATAAATTTATAAGTAAATTTACAGGTAAATATACTTATGTAAAATAAGTTCAGAAAGGTAGGTCAGAATCAAACTATGCTAAGGAGTTTGTATTTTATCCTGAAGGCAATAAGGAGCCACTGAAGATTTTTAAGCAAGGGAATGACATGATCAGACCCTTGTGCTTTAAGGAAAATTGTGTTTGTATCTGTGTGGGAGAAGGATTCAAGGGAGGAGAGGTCAGACAGACCAAAGCAGAATAGGTGAGAGGTAATGAGGGCCTGAACAAGAATGGTTTCTATATGAGTGAGGAGAAGGGAATAGATGCAAAATATTGTGGGTATAGAATCTTCAAGACTTTACAACAAATGGTCATCCTGTTACTAATTCCTTAGCCTCTTTAAATGACAAGATCTACTCCCTCACTCCACTGTCACACATAGGGATTGGTCATACCCTAAATTGTCATCACTATTCCCAAAGTGTTCCACTTCCTTAATTAGAAACTCTGACATTTCCTATTTGACCACAATCTCCTACCACTTTGATTCACTCCTCCAAATCTATTCTTTATCTTTATTAGGACCTCCAATCATCCCCTCCTCTTGGGATTTCCTAAGGCCTTGACAACCTCTGATCTGACTTTACTTTTTTCCCTCTCCAATCACAACCCAATAGTTAGCCATTTCAACTCTGTACTGTCCTCTGCTCTTGAATGTCTTGACCCCTTGACCTTTCCCCCTCATATTTTGCCCAACCCTAGCCTTGCATTACTCTCACTTTCACTTCCTCCGATCCTGTTCATGAATCTGGAAGAAGTCATGAGTGACTATGATGATTGGCTACTTGACAAATCCATTTTATCCAACATCAAATGAGCCCTTGTTGCACCAAGGCAATTCTTTTATTCCTTCTTAATTGTTTCCCTATATGACTCCCCACAGGCAGTTAGTTGGCAAAATGGATAGACCACCCTGCCTGGAGTCAGTAAGACCTGAATTCAAATCCAGCCTCAGACACTTACTAGCTGTGTGACCCTGGGCAAGTTACTTAACCCTATTTGCCTTAGTTTCCTCATCTGTAAAATGAGCTGGAGAAGGAAATGGCAAACCACTCCAAGTAGCTTTGTCAAGAAAACCCCAAATGAGGTCATGAAGGGTTAGACATGATTGGAAAAAACTGAGCAAAAAGCATCACTCCCTAAAGAAACTATTCCAAACCTTTTCCTTCCTGAAGCCTCCTCCATCCCCATTAGCTGAGGGCCTTGCCTCTTACTTTATTGAGAAAATTGAGGCCTGGTAAGGTCCCTCTTCTCTCATTCTTGTCATTATAAAATCCCTTGACATTATTTCCCACTCTCTCCTCCTTTCCTTCAGTCCTTAAAACAGGTAGCCCTTTTCCTTGCCAAGGTCAACTCATCTATATGATCCTATCCTCTCTCTCTTTCTCTTTCTCTCTCTCTCTCTCTCCCTCTCCCCTACCCAGTTTCTCCTTATCTATTAGGTCTTTCCCTCTTTCCTTACTGCTTTAAAGCATGCCCGAGTCTCTCCGTCTCAAAAAATATTTCACTGAACCCCATCATCTTCTCAAGATACTGTCCTATACCTTTTTCCTTTTCTCAGACAAATTCCTTGTAAAATCTGTCTGCATTTGCTGCCTTCTCTCCTCTTACCCGTCAATCTTTTGTAACCTGACTTCTGACCTAAGGACTCAAATGAAATTGCTCTCTCCAAAGTTACTAATGATCCCTTAACTGTCAATCTGATGACCTTTTCTCAGTCCTTATCCTTTTTAACCCATCACCTGCATTTGACACTCAACCTTTCTGTTGTCCTGTATATTCTCTCCTCTCTGGATTTTCATGACACTGCTCTCTCCTGGTTCTCCTCCTATTTATCTGATTGCTCTTTCTGAGTTTTCTTTGCTGGCTCATATTACACCCTCTAACTGTGGGTTTTCCACAAGTCTAGGTCCTGGGTCCTGTTTATTTCTCCTTTTTCTTTCAGTCCCTTGTAGAGAAGAGATAACTTCATTAGTTCCCATGGATTTAACTATAATCTCTATTTACATAACTCTCAGATCCATTCAACCCAATCTCTTTCCTGAGCTCCAGTCCCATATCACCTATTAGTCACTTCAAACTGGATGTCCCAGAGACATCATAAACTCACCATGTACAAAACATAAATCATTATCTTTTTCTCCAAACTTTCCCCTCTTCCAAATTTTCCTATTTCTATTGAAGGCACCACTACCTTTCTATAACTACTACCTCATTTCAGGTCTTCATCACCTCCTACATATTTATCACCTTCATCACATTCCTAGATTACTGCAACAAACTCTTAATTGTCTGTCTACTTCAAATCTTCCAATAATCCAGTACATCCTATACCCTTCTGCAAACACACTTGTCCATAAGTTTCAATACAACCGTGTGGTGCCCCTCCTCAATCAACGCAGTGGCTTTTCCTACATCTATAAACTCCTCTGTTTAGTTTTTAAAGCCCTCTACAACCTTACCCAACCCTATCTCTCCAACATCATTGAAAAGTATTCCCCTTCCTTCACTTTATGACCCAGCCAAACTGACCTTCTCTCTATTTCTCACATATAAGAAACACCATCTCCTGTTTCTGTAATTTTGTGCTGGACATCTTATGTGCCTGGAATGCATTCTTTCCTCATCCCAATCTCACAGAGTCCTTCTTTTCC